AAATTGACTCAATTTTATGCATTAGATCACAAGTTATAATCAGCAAAAATTACGCCAATTAGTATAACGAAAATCACGTGGTCCAATACTTTTGACCGGGGAGTGTACATGTAAATTTGTCTAGTTTATTACAACAATAATTGATATTACCGTAATTATACGAAGACAATTGTGCAACACATATGGGAGGTTTGCTATAAAATCGAGTTACGAACATATGATCATTAACGTGATTTTAATAGCTTATCTCCCATATGACAAGACCAAAACAGAAAGCAATAAATAAAAAGAACTCACGAAGGCAATTAGATACTCCAAGAGGCTTTGTTAAACCGAAAGCCAGGCTTATTATTGGTCCTTAAGGAAGGTAGATCCAGTGCAGTCAGGTACAGTAACTCTAGCAAAGTTTGACAGGCCTGGTGACCAGTTTAATTGGTCTGTAAGGGAAGGTACATAGCTAATTCCTATTTCAGAAGAAGCAGATCCCTTACCAAGGTTACAGTCAAAGCGCTTCCCACCCAACTTGTACAGTGCAAAAGTAAGAAAGAAAAAAATAATAATAAAATAAATATATGTATACCACTTCCTTGCTAGGCTAGTTGTTTCTAATAACATAAAAATATTAAACGTTAATAAAGTAGTATTTTATTTTTTATTTATTTTTTATTTAGTCTTGTCTTGTCAATATGAGTTGTTGTTTTTCATGGGAAGAAAGAAGAAATTTGAATCTTTTTGAAACACGTAATATAAATATATGATCAATTGACTTTTACAAAATATATAATAATATCTATTGACCTTATTTAACGTTATAGATAAATTTCATTTGCCTTGCACATGACTTACTCTCAGGATTCCATCACGCGAGTGATGTACCATATTTATATGAAGGCTTTGGTTCTATTTATAAACCATGTTTGTTAGGGTAATTTTGTGATCTTATTCGTATTAGTTATTAGAATATAATTTTTACAATTGAATTTTTGTAAGGATGAGTAAACTTTGGAGGAAGTGAAAATTTTCTATGAAGCAAAAAATTAGACCGTAAATTAGATAAAATGAAAATTGGTCCTTCAGGGGTTCACTTATGAAACAAATTTAAAATTTTAATTAACTTTTAGGCAGTGAATTTTTTGTAGTCCAAGTAAAAAGTTTGGGATGTTCAGAAATGAAACAAATATTACGTCGCTGTCGCACAACCGAGATAAAACTCATTCAAATTTTATGATTTATTCGTAAATTACATAGGACTTGTCAATTATGGATAACAAACTTTTATCTTTTAAGATGAAATATTGATTATAACAAAGAAAGAATGTTAATGAGGAAAGAACAAGGAGGATATTATACGCTTTCTCCAGAAGGTCCAAAATTACAATTATTGTATTTATTAAGAGGACGGGACGTAGATGCAGAATTGGGATTCAGCAAACGAACTTACTAACCTGTCTCGATTTTTCTGGCAATATTAAATAAGTCAGTAGATATCGTAAAGAATAAAGGTCTATTTGTTGAATCAAAATCTTGTCATGTCTTCGATTTTTCTGCTTACCCATGTTCTCATTCTCTTCAAATACAATGATTGAAATATTCAATTCTCCTTTGCGCACTAACAAATCGCGCCAGCAAACAAATAGAACTAAATTCTGTGAACGAATTAAGATTTAGAAGGGCCATTAAGAAGCGAATAAAGAGACACGTCATCCGTAAGATTAATTTTATCAACAATCAAACTTTGGAATAAAACTCGCGGTTTCTTTTAACTTGAATGGCCTAGAACGTTACTTAATGACACTTATCGCAAAATTTTAGGACTATATTATGAAGAGCACATTTCATGATCCAAACAATTATATTGTCCATTTAAATGTAGATAAGTCAAGAAAGTTTATAGGTCGTCAGATGTTGTGATCTCGATTATTCATCAATTTCGCCGCTATTTTGTAAGTGTAATTCTCGATCGATCATAAAAAAAAATTAATATACAGTATATTAAAACTGCTTTAACTTATATCGGTTTGTTATCTTCATGAAGGACTACGTGAAATTCGCGATAGATAAAGTAAAATAATAAAGTTTTGTTTTTACTCACGAATTTTTTTTTATCACATTTTTGCCACTACATTGTAGCCCACACAATCCACTTGAATTATTAAAGAAATCTATGGCCCACATTGACTCGACATCAATGAAATAAATGTTCCCTTTGTTGACCCAATAGGTATTTATAGAATTCTTTAATACTTTTACAATAAGCTCTGAACGAATTTACCGACAACAAAGACCAGAGTTTGATACCTTAGTACAATTATCATGTGAGCAGAACACAGAATTTGTCTATAGTGTATCTCATGAATAATATTTTATTTTACTAATTTAATTTGCAAATTTGCAAAATCTTGTATTAATTTGCTATATTGTAGCATGTAATCAAAGCGGAGCGTCAGTTACAATTTAAGATCACGTGAAATGCATTTTCGCGAAACAGCATAAATATATATCATATGTGTTGGATAATTCATGTCTCAAACTTTTAATTTGGCTATGCAAAATAGATTGATTTATAATTTTTTTTTAAAATTCAAAGAGAAAGGACAGATTTAAGAGAACTTGTGTAGGTAGTTTATTGGAAAGAAATCTTTAATATAAATAACGAAATGAAATTATCATTTTCGTTTAATTAATTGTTCAAAGTAACTGCGATCAACTATTTTAAATACATAATATAAAGATAATAAATAGTCGTGATTTGACAAACCAAATTATTAAAGGATAAAATCAATGAGAATGACGATTAAATATGTAGATCTGGACATTTTTGGCTTTTTTTTATACCATAGAAATTGCCATATCTGGATGAACAAAGGAATTTTCAATTTTTGATAAATAAACGATTTTCATTCAATTTTGTTAGCAACTTCCAATTTGTTGTTATATCGATGGTGGTGGATGTCATTGAAAGGGTTCTCAAAGACCTTAGTGTTCGTGATTTACTTTCGGCACTTCTAGTTAACCGAGAATGGAGTCAAGCCGCCGTTCCATTGTATTGGAAAGCTCCGTTCAGTCATACAAAGAAAAGAAGTATGCTCGCACTCAAGGTTTATGAATCGTTTCTTGAACAAGAAAGCGGATCGGCAGGAAAATCTACAATTCATAAAAATCAACCACTTTACGATTATCCCATTTTTCTCAAGGAACTCAATTATACAAACCTACTTGCGTGCGAAGAAACCTATGGAAGGGCCAGAAAAGTTGAAGCAATACTTCGAATGTTAACAAATCGAGAAGTTCGTCTTAACACTTTTATTATGGAAAATACCGGTGCAAATAACGAAAGAGTTTATGGATTATGGACGAATCAATGTTATGCATCAATATTCAGTACTTTAGTTCACGTCGAAATACACACGCCTTTTCCAAAAAATAATGTCATGAAGGCATTAAAGGAAAATTGCGCTAAACTTGTAAGTTATTTTCTAAATGAAGTTTTGAAACACTACTATGCACTTTCCGAAAGGAATTATATTATTGAAATTTGTCATCATTGGAGTGTGTGTTTGGTAATAAATTGTGAAGTACAGTACTTTCATTATAATAAATATGTTAATAACTCATCACAATTATTATTCATTCTTCTAGTCTCATATTGATATCAATCTTCATGATACTTCTGTTGAGCGTGCCAAAGAGTCGCTCAATTATCTTGAAGAACTCATTACCGTCCAGAAATGCCCAATAAGTCTTCGGTTGGTATTTCCAAACGGAACTGGGAAAATTCTAGTCGAGAAATTAAGTTCAAGACTTGAATCCTTCAAACGTCTTGAACTCGTAAAATGGAACTTTAACGGATGTTATTGGGGATGGTTGAAAAAATGCCCTAATTTAACCGAATTTGCAATAACAGACCCACCTCCAACTCAGGTTACTAGCACTTTGGGATTTAATTTTGAAAATTACCGTTTAAAAATGTCGAAAAATTCAAAAGTTGTAACTGCACATTGGCATTTCGACAAAGGTGACAAAATTTCTTCAAAGTTTTATTTTCACCCAGATAAAACTTTGATGGAACCGTATGATGAAAAACCTCCAGTTGTGATCCAACCTCGAGTAGTCCGCAAGATTGATAGTGCTAAAAAACATCAATATATGTTGGAAAACTTATTAAAACGTTTGGATTCAGAATTTTCAGACGACGCTGATAATGGTACCGATTACGATGATTTTGATTTTGAGGATCATTTTGGTTGCACTCCTGAGCAATGGTATAATTGCTATGATCCAAGTGATTGAAATTCCAACTTCGTTTTAGGGACCAGAACATAAGATAGACCAACTTTTGATTTCAGCGACTAAATTGTAACAGATAAATTATTTATTCAATAAAGAGAAAAGTGAATCTATGTATATGTATATTGTACATGTATGATAATTTTTGGCATGCACTATAAAAAAAAAATTTTTTTTTTGGAATCTTTTTAATGAGTTAACGCCTTTTTCTTTGATTTTGGGAGAAAACAATAAATATCCTCGTTCGTACTCTCCTTAATAATGATATTGTTTAAAGAGAAGGATACCAACAAAAGTATGGTTTACTAGTAGTGATAATGATAGTTGATACTTAACTACAATTTAATGCAATAGCCCCATCCTTCCGGACACATTGGTTGTGAATCATATTAAGGTAAAGACATTAATTATTGATTTATTCAACATTATATTATGCTGTTGTTAAATATTTCATCTTCCATAATGTTATGTTTCGTAACCTTTTGTCATTGTACAGTACCAATTAGATCCTTTAGAACATTTAGTGTAATTTTTATCCCACGTCGCGATTAAGAAATGAAATTTAACGTATTTTAACTAAACGACCGTATTTAAAATACAGAAATATACAAAAAAATACAAAGTCCTGTGCAAGCTGTTTAACACTATTGATAATAAACGATAAATACGAGGTCGCGGTTAGAGCCAACAGCAGAATCAGATGACAAGGTTGCCATTCGCTTATTTTAAACAAGCTCATGGCTTGCATGTGTTAAATTATGCACAACAGATATTCGTGGCCTAATATTCTGCAATTATTAAATATAAATTGGTGTATAATCTTGGAGTGTGCAGATGATGATGATGTTGTAAAGAGATAGGACTTTAATCGATTAGAATATTGGACGCTCGAGGTAATTGTAAAGCAAATTTTTTATGAGGAAAGCAATTTTATCAAGTTTATTTGCTTCATCAGAAGAATCAACCGCAAACATAAAACTTTGAGTTTTGTTTAACGGCTCATCTACTTCTCAGGTACTTGCAAATTGTTCTTTAAGGATTGGCACTAATAAATTTTTTATTAGATTATATTGTATATTCTCATATTAATTGTAATTTCGTTTTTTAATGGTAAGTTTATTATCTCCATTATAATTCATTTTGTACGGAATGAATGTTTAATCTCCAATTTTTTATTATATAATAAACCATTTATGAAAACTTAACTCATGATTTAGAGATACGTCGTTATTTATTGCGACGCGTTAGATATTCTTATATATAAGCCGTCCTATTTTGATTTTCAAAATAAATATATTTTATCTTAATTTTATTTTTTAGCTTTTCCTTCAAAACTTACTTCTTTTTTACACAATCTATAGACGAAATTCTGAAAGTAATTTTAATTAAGTAATGATGAGAAGTAGATATTATATCTTTCGTGTAGCAATAAATCACTAAACAAAAACTGGATATATATAAGCAATAGAAAAATAATATTGAATTAGGTAAGTAGTCATTGAGTTATTTGTCGAGTCGTTGTGTATCTGAAGTTGCACTGCCACTAGGTATAAAATTAATCTGGGAATTGAAAGCTCTTCGTGTCCACAGTTTGAGTGGGGGCACCTTCAGGATGGCGGAATGAAGAAACCTTGAAGGGAGTTTCTGAAATGAAGGTCTATTGATTCTGTATTAAGAATTGGTTATAGGTGTCTTCCTTTGTAAAAATCATGGAAGCTTGCAATTCATGGCGTATTTCATTTACTCCTGAGAGTGTTCTTGTTCTTTTTGTGAACGTTCTTCCCTGTTTCCGAAGTCTTCCACACCCTGGAAGTTTAAATGATAAATAGGTTATTTTTTTATTTGTCTATGATAGACATCAAATGTAATATTGTGGTGAAACATTTTGTGGATGCGGATATTTTTATTTTTATTTTTTTTTGCAGAGTTCAAAACGGAAGATAATTATTTTAGAAACTTTTATATTTTTATAATTTTTTTGGTAAAGAATTAATATTTGCGTTAATTTGAAATCTTTATTATATAATTAATATTCACATCACATTGTATGTAACTGGTCATTTATTAGTATAAATAAAAAAATATTTTTTTGTCGCATAACATTCTTGCTTTTATTCCGTTAAATAATTTTGGGAATGATTGGCAAATAACGCCAAATTTATTAACAATCAAATACTTTCTCATTGTTTATAAAATAATAAAATAATGTTCGAGTAAACGTAATTATTCCTCCTCACTCTCTTCCCTTCTTAGTTTACGATAATAGGATAGGTGTGCCTGCTTTATAGTTTTGTTTCTTAAAATATATTTAACTTTTATAACGAAATTGTCTTGAATTAGATTTGTTTGCTATATAGTTTAGTTATTTTTATTTCTTTTTATATCATTATCCTTATATTCTATTAACGAATTTAATTTTAAATCTCATGATATAAATATATGAAGTAACTGGAAAATGTAATGATTTGGAAGATAATACGTATCATTATAAAATATCCTGGGGGGTTTGCGTTTTCTTAGTTCTTTTGGTTTATGCATCACTTTTACTTACGCGTTCAATTTACTTTAACTGGACTGTCTATTTGGAGATGCTAACGAAATTTCAGTGAACTGGGCTTATCA